CATATGATAAATCTGATTTGGGCAAAAACGCCTCTACTCGTCCCACCATAAGCACATAAATATGCTCCTCCATGCTACAGCTTAATGGGAATTTTTACACAAGGACCTTCGGAACAGTTGAGCTTGTRGCCTAGCTGCTGTTCTTCCTAACACAAAGGTTGTATATCAAGTCATAAGGATTTAGATGGGGGCGAAGCCGTTTGGCTGGTTCATGAGCCAGGCTCCTGAAGCGGCCGCTTTTAGCAAGGCTGAGACACCAACACGAGGTCCTGCTGGGCCTGCGAGCGCCTCCGTCCAAGCAGCTCCCGGTGCCTCCGTCCCTCCAGGGGCCGCTGGAGAAGGGGCAGAGCCGGAGCGGAGACGGGGCCGCTGCGAGGAGACGCGCGCCGGCGTGCAGGAGGGCTCCGAGCACCATCCCTCCGCACGGAGCGCCAAGGAAGCGCTGGGATACCAGATTATACGGAGCAACGCGCGTAATACCCGCAATCCCCCAGAACTCAGCAGCTTAAGTCATTTCTAGATTAATGAAACGTATAGTTGAAGCAGACAGATAAATTCAGCACCAAAGGGCTTCCACAGAGATCCAGCAAAGCCCTCCTGGGCCCTCAAAAAACTGTCACCAAAAACCTGCACAGCCCATATTGGAAAGAAAAACCAAACCCTACTTATAATTGTTTGGGATTATACTTTTCCTTTCTGCTCTTCCCCATACAAAGAAGCAGSGAAAGCTTTATGCAGCAAGGCAGCCCTTCTGCCACGCACCGCTGCCTTCCACAAGGACATGCAAGGGMCGCCTCCCCGGGCTGCTTCCCGACCTGGTGGTTTCTCTACACCTGCAAACATGAGCAGGGGCTCTTCCAGCTGGCCTGTATGCTACCATATTAGTGTAACGGCTCTGGGAGGTATGCACAGATATGGATGTTATGCTGGATAACCTGGTTATTCTCTACAAAAAAAAAAAAAAAAAAAAAAAGCAATCGAGAATGAGAAATCTGAGGTATTGAGCCCAGTTATTGCACATATAGATGAAGGTAAGGGCAAAATCTCACAGAGATTCAACAGAATCTTGCCACTTAGTCCAGCACAGTGATATTCATCAAACTGGCGATCCAGGAGGAAAAGATCCATCACCCCAATCACAGCCTCCTCTCACTAACTGTTCAGCTAATCCCAAGAAAGACAAAACATTTTAATAGAAACTGTTTTCTAGTTTTTTAATGATTTTAATTGACAAACAAGTGCTTTAGCGTAGATTAGAACCATGCCGTATTTAAAGGCACTTTCATACCTCAACCAAATCTATTGACGGAGCTGACTGGCTTTGTCTTAACTAATGATCTAGACCAAAAAGAAAAAAAAAAAAACACACATCACAGATATTTGCTAGAGCATCATTAAAAGATACCCTTTGAATGCTCTTTTGAGGTTAGGTAACGTACAATGGCTGGCATTAACCTCTGCATGGCAGAGCAACAAAATGTTCCTCAGATGCCAACTGCCTGAAAGTTAACACAGGAARTGGATCTGTTTGCCATCGAGTTTACTCTAAAATTATCACACAAGGAATAAATTACTGCTGGTTCCCTAAGGATGAAATAGCTTTTATTCACTGCCATGTGCCAATAAATGAACAATTAAATAAATAAAAAAGCTTCAGAAACAACAACCAGACACAATAGAAGCTGTATCACCATGTCCTTCTCCAATAAGGCAACAACTCCACAACACAACTTGAAGAAACCCCTGTGATGTAAGAGGAAATATTGCTCTTTAGCACTGCACAGCCCAGGCCCAGTCAATACCAAAGCAGTGACCTATTGAATTTTGAACCAGCGACACTGATGCTGCAGTATTGACTTTGATTAGAGACGTATCAGCCAGGGCTTCCTATGACCACTGATGATGCAGGGCAGGTTTTAAAAGTGTTTATTTTTCTTCAGTTTAAAGACGAATGAAGACAACACTACGTGTCTGCTCAAGGTCACACAAATTATTTTCCCAAATCAAATGCACCTACAGGAGAGTTCCCATTCCAACACCATCCACCACGTAGCCATTTGGGAAGGAAGTTTGTCAAGGACAAGCTTAACAACATGGGAGGAAAAGCCAGTAGCTTTCACTCCTTTGATGTGCGAGCCCTTCTGGGGCGAAAGGGAACAATCTAACAGCTGCCCGTGGGAAGGGAACTTCCCTCTTGTKACCCGACCCTGCAGCTTTCGGAGCCTTTTGGGCGCTGTGGGGATGAGCGGCCCAAAGCGCGGCCTAGGCCATGGCCCAACACGTGGCCCAACGCAGCAGCTTCTGGGCGCCGCTCTGAGCTCAGCTCTCCTCGTTTCAGGCCACATCCAACAAACTGCCCTTGAAAAGCGGCATGGGGGCGATAGCGGAGCTCCTYGGCAACCTGTGGACAGGGACACAACCCCACTGCCCTGGCCCCCAAATCCTCTCCAGACTGCGTGAACTGTCCCTGGTGCGAAACACGCASACTGAACCTCCTCCTCCAAGGAGGTGATTACAGACAGCACACAGGCCTGAAAACCATCATGCTCTTAAATAAAAACCGGTTCCCTGCTTCAGTCCTCCGGCACGAGGCAGGGGTAATAACCCATTGCACCATGACGCCATCAAGACACCCCCGAGCAGAGCAGCACTCTTAGCTATAGGTCCAGATCTAAGGACAGGCTTCATCATCACCACGGCTGGCCCTAAAATAGCCCTGTCCCTCCTCCTGAATTTTCACCTTGGGTTCTCCCAGTGAAAACTAAAGCCAAACCTGGTCTCTGCTCTTAACCAGAGCTGAGGCACAGGAAACACAGACTAATTCACTGCACCAAAGAGCCCAGGGCCTCCTCCCTCTGCAGAGCTCTAACCAAATCCTTCTACCCTGAGCCAAGCACCTACCACATTCCCAGAGTCAACACCTGCATCCCCCACGAAGGACTGGATRCCACTGCAGAGGTCTCGAATGAAGCTAGTGAGAACTTAGATGAGCCTTGTGGTTGGAAAAGACGTTTAAGATCATCAAGTCCCCGCACAGTAAGTGAWTCAGCCAATTACTTTTTGTCCCAGGATCTCATCACCATTAACTTGTTAAAGAACTTCCTGCTCCATGCAGCAGCACCACACAGGGCAGGTGCAACTTATTTTCCCTCTGTTTATCATCAGCCCAGCACCCTTAACGTGGTCTAGCACCGACGGATGCCAAATAGCCGGGGCAGGATCCACAGCCCATAACCTGACGCTGCTGAGAAGACGGAATGGAAGGTAGGAAACGCAAATGTTTGAGAGCAAACGTAGGAAGAGGTGACCGCCTCCACGCGAGGCGATGGACATGCTCGTTTTCAAGGCGCGCTCATTGCACAGAGCCAGCCCRGGCCTCGGCGCCAAGATCCCGTCATTTGGCCGCACAGTCTCTGCTCGTCTGCCAGAGCGCCCTGAGCTCCAGGATAAGGAGTAACCTCTAAACCCGCTTTGCATCGGGAACTAAACTTGCCAAAGTTTTCTTGGGGGGATGAGAGAGCAACTGGGGAACAAAATCTCTGAGGTCTGTTAATAGCCTGTATTCCTGGAGCCTCAAGCACAAGGCACAAACCTTCAATTTKGTCTTTACCTATATGAACACATAACAACGCTAATTAAAAATGCCAGACTTAAGAAAACACCACACTATATGGCCCCAATTAATCCCCTGAGATGAGAAAGAGGGCGAAAATGAAGCAAACGTGACAGCTATTAGCCACATCACCAGGTACAGCCCTGGCAGACATGCAAATATTGCAGTGATGAGAATATACGTGCCTGCACTTTGAAATGGTATTCTCGAGCTCAGCACACCCGGACAAATATCAGAGGGGGAGCTGCCTACGATTCAACAWCCAGAAAGCCTCGTTCCTGCAGCGAACACAGATTTTAAGAAGTTATCCGGGCCTCGCTTTGGCCTCTCGAGCCCGGCAATGGCCCGGAGCAGCTGTAATTGGGATAAYTGCTTCCCAGCTTTGGCGGGATTGCTGGAGCGGGTGGCAGCGGCACCYGGAGCCTCCGCGCACGGCTCTGCACCGGAGCGGGCGCCGCATGCGGCACCGCGGTGCGGACCCGCGGCCACCTCCCCTGCTCGGCCCGCGTCGCCTCGCGGGGAGCGAGGCGAGACAAAAATCACCATCGATCGATCAATCTATCGATTAACAAATAAATAAATAAAGCGACTGCGGTGCCGGGGCGCTGCAGGGTGGTTGTGCCATGCAGCCGGAGGCGGTGGCAGGGCCGGAGATGCGGGACCGGGTCACGCAGCCCTGCAGCCTTTGTGCACACACAGCAAATACTCACCCCGAACACACCGTGCACGCACACAGACCATGCACACACACCCCAAACACACCGTGCACACACACAGTGTGCATACACACCCCAAACACACCGTGCACACACACACAAATCCCCCCCACACACCATGCACACACACACACCATGCACACACACCCCAAACACACCGTGCACACACACACAAATCCTCCCCACACACCATGCACACACACACACCATGCACATACACCCCAAACACACTGTGCACACACACACACAATGCACACCCATACAGAGTGCACACACACACACCGTGCACATACACCCCAAACACASYRTGCACACACACACCGTGCACATACACACAGTGCGCATACACACCGTGCCCACACGCTGCACATACACACCGTGCACACGCACACACATTCCCCCCACACGCTCACACACACACGCCCCGCGCACACCCGAATCACACGCACGGGCGGGATGCGCGGGCTCCAGCCCCGCGAGGCCGCCGGCGGGAGGGAGGGAGGTGAAGGGGGGGGACATTTTAGGTGGCTCCGGCGGCCCCGGCGCCTCCTCCCGCCCGAACTTCCCCGCCGCCCCTCTCCATCCCCCCCAGCAGACATCTTGCGGCCAAGTTCCCCGCGCCGCTGCCGCTGCCGCTCGGCGACGCGGCGGCGCGGCCGGGCGCGCGTTACCTCGGCGGCGCTTTGTGCTCACTCCATGCCGGCGCTCCCGCCTCCGGCAGCGCGGGCGGCCGCGGCTCCTGCGCGGGCGGGAGCGGGGCGCGGGGCGGAGCGCGATGTGGCAGGAAGGGACACCTGGGCCCTCCCCCGGGCCGCCGCGCGGAGCACAATGTGGCAGCGCCCGCCGCCCCTGCCCCGCGCGCCGCTCTGCAGCCGGGGGCGGGCAGCGCGATGGCGGG